TAAATAGAACCAATTGCCGTGCGGTAGTGCCCACCTGAAAAAATTGGTTGCCTCTACGGCATACGGCGACGTAGCCTCAACGGAGCAGGTTTACGGTTTATCAACCTGAACAGGATGCTTTGTGCACCGTGCCAGGCAACAGAGTGTCAACCTGCACTGGCAGTGAGCCCAAATGGCGCCCGGACCACATGGGGGTGCTCTTCAATGGACGTTGCCAACTCGTCGTCAGGCAACCTAAACGGGCCCGAAACGTAGGCAACGTACGGCACCTTGAAGGCAACGTTGCGGCTAGGATCGGTTCCCGTCGGGTTGCGCAGCAGTTCAGTAAATTTGCTTTTGGTTGCTTCAGGCCTCCTGCGCCTGAGCGCATCAGCTGCTTCAACACAAAGATTGTGACTGTGGTTTATCTCAATCACACAAGGAAATTCTTGGAGAAGCATTTGTATGTATTGAAAACCGTGACATACAATCTATAGAAACTTGTTTAAGCTCGGAGCTCCTACAGTAACAAACAAAAAATATCATGGGAATATAGGTCAATCAATATTTAACACACTATTGAATAATCATCACCATTTCATAGATCTCTGCTTTATGGTTATTCTTATAAAAGCAGGACAATCAGTGTGTTTGATTGAGGAAATCCTCTTTTTGCCTTCTTTAGTTTTCTTTGAATTCTCTCTGTTTCGTGGCATGGTGTTGTGGTGACAGCGGTATTGTCTCTGTAAACAATTAACAAGAGGCTGAATATATAACTTGGCAAGAAAGGGAAAGAATAGTGGAATAGGTAAAAGTTTATACTTTACCTTGAAAACGAGACGGTCGGAGTTATCTTTTTTAGTTTTCTGAACACGAAAATCAACAGAACTCAGGCATTCAAATTCAGAGAGCCACTCCATTGCTAGATCTTTGTTGCTGATGGCAACTCTTACATGGGCTTTCCACTTATTGTGATTTTCAGTGCAGTCTGTAACTACATATGATGCACAACTAGGCATCACATCCTGTGAAATAATGGGGACAAATTATTGATTGATTTTTGAAAAATCAGTAGCTTGGAATAAAGAAAGACCTACATGCTCTTCGCAGAATGATTCATCTGTTAAACTTTTTTCTTTGGCTGCATTAACAAATTCTTTTATTTCAGAGTCTGATATTCTAGTTCCTCTCTTTTTCCTCACTTTGGGCAAGTCAGTAAGGACAGATTTTTCACCAGGCTTTTTGACCACAATGTTGCAGTTCTTCCGTTTAGGGATAAAAGCATCCTCACTAAATTCTGACTCATCAGTCGGGGAACCATGAGTAGCAGGATGGTGTGCTGTGACAGAAGAAGAATTAGAGCAAAATAGCAAGTTATTTAGTAAAACATCAGACAATAACCACATACTATTGCCATCATCACAACCAGCCTGCACGTCAGTGACAGATTTTTCACCAGGCTTTCTGACCACTAAGTTGCAATTCTTCCGTTTAGCGATAAAATCAACCTCACTAAGTTGATTCATCGGGGGAACCATTAATAACAGGATGGTGTGCTGTGACAGAGGAAGAAAAATTTAGAGTAAGTAAAGTTATTGATAAAACAACAGACAACAACCCTTATACATACTATTGCTATAGTGACACTTATTGGCGGCAGAAAATGCAGACTTTACTTGGAAATTGAGGTAACAAATTCGATCAGACGATTTAACCTTCAGTTTAACAAGCCCCAACAACTTTATATTACGAGCCCCACAAAACAACGATTAGAGAAGGCTGTCATAAATAAGATTCCCCTTTTTTACATAAGGCTACTCACAGTTTTTGAATCAGGTTCAGGATCATCCTCCACCTTCAATGTTTCATCTAAACCTGATGATGGCCCAGAAGGGGAACACTTCCCATCATTATCACCATTAGCTGGCTGCTGTTCCCATTAACAGAGGAAGTTTGACATACATAACCAAAATGCATGATGACAATACCACCATGTGTCAGGTGCTTTCAAGTTCATTTATTTGAAAGTTTATTCACTCATTGAGTACTTTGTTGAATTGCTTCACTTCAGATTATGAGATCGAAGTACCCACCACAGACCCTCACCATGAATTTCCGTCAGGAAACCTTACCAATTCATTGCTCCAAACCAGTCAGTAGTTATCCGTAACCTGAAGTAATGCTCGTGCTCTCACATAAAATAATATCATTCAAGCTTTTTTCAAGTACTCTTCCATCAGAGCCTTTTTTTTTTTTTTTTTTTTTTTTTTTTTTAAGAAATTTAAAATTAATTTCTACTCCTGAGGAAGACGATGCAGGTGCTGTTCACTCTCCTGCTAGGAAAAAAACGATTAATGGTGAAGGTACTTCAACTTTTTTAAAAGTTTTTTGCTATTAGTCAGTACTTTGATTGAACCTAACCTAAACTTCAAATTTCCAGCTGGAACCAGGACACCAAGAACTCTTAGATCTACACCTCGAAGAAAGAAGAGGTATCAAACAGAAACATGGTTGCCAGGCATCACTCATGCATTGCTCAAAGAATGCATGGCCAGAAAAGGAGATTTGCAGAGTGGCAATCCTCCAAATAGCCTATGGAAAGAAGTTACTGATACTCTCAACAAGTTGGGCTTCAAGTGTGAATGGCAGGCATGTCGTGAAAAATTTGAAAGCATGAATATGTTTTTTTGATAAAAGTCTGCTGAAAGTTAATGGTATCATAGGGAGAACCAAGTGGCCTTATTACGAGTCTTTCTTGGAATGACACGATTTGCCTCCAAATTATATTCACCCAGTTACAGAGCCAGTAGTTGATAAAATATTATGAGAATGAGGAAGAAGGTACTATCACACCAGTAGTAGCGTTGCGCACACTGCTTACTGTTCGCCTGTTTCGCATAGCATTTGATTAACTTTAATTTTGTTTCTCTATTTTCAGATTCTAAACTATGGCCGGATCATGTCATTGAATTACTTATCAGCTTGTACAAAGAAAGGAGGCTCCTTTTCAAGGCGTCAAAATCGTGCATCCGGCATACTTCGTTGTACATGGAAATGGCTGCCATTATGAAAGTCGTCGAATGTGGACGAAACCATCATCAATGTAAACGAAAAATGAATGCCATGCTATCTAAATTTCGGACTGGTGGACAACCCTCAAGGCTGCAAGCAAAGCGGGGGCAAGGGTGCGCAGAAAAAGAAGAGAGACATATGACTTGCAGGTCGTTCTTGTGCTCCATCTGCAGAAGCACACATGAAAGAGGGTCAGTACAGTAAACCGTCTTGGTTAAACAAAAATTTGATGGGTTTAAACAAAAGATGTTATATGAATTTCTTCAAGCACTAATAAGACTTCTGTGCATTTTGCTTACAGACGTGCAAGATCTTCCGCTGGCTTCTTGTAATTCAAATGAACATCTTTATTCTGAAACTGAATCTGATTCTTCATCTTCAGAAATTAAACAGGAAAACAGAAAGCAGATAAAAAAGTTTTGTAAGTTGAAATACGAATGTAACTCAAGAGAGGCGTTTATTTTCCCTTTTAGGTGTCTCATACAAATGTAACTTGTGCTGCAAAGAATTTCAATCTGCAAGAGGTCTGCAATACCACCACCACACTGCAAACCTAACTGTCTACTAAGTACACACTTACAAATGCGTGCTTGCAAGTACACACTTACAAACGCATGCTTAGCCAAGTACACACTTACAAAAGCATGCTTGCAAGTACACACTTACAAACGCATGCTTGACGCCATATAACTCCATGCGTCAAGCATGCGTTTGCAAGTGTGTACTTGCAAGCATGCATTTGTAAGTGCGTACTTGGCCAAGCATGCGTTTGTAAGTGTGTACTTACAAGCACGCATTTGAAAGTGTGTACTTAGTAGACAGTTAGGTTTGTAGTGCAATCTGATCACATGGGAATTACCTATAAGTGCAGTGTCTGCGGGAACAAATTTCGACGGAGACCACCTGGGGAGAAGACAGACATGCAAGGACTGTGGAAAGGTGTCTAAGAAGGCGTCAACTCTTGGACATCATTATAACCGTGTCCATCTTCATACTGCAAGGTAGGTTTACGCCAGACCGTGTCTTGTCGTAACAGGCTTCGCGATGTCTCGCTGCCGGTTCCTCCAATCCACGCCTGGCGTACCTACCTTGGCCTGCGGCGGCTTTTAGGTGTTTTTCGGCTATAAAAACCGAACCAGATGAGCCAGGATACTGAAATTTCGCGTGTGCTTAGCCAAGAACATACCCAATGAGCCTGCGAAATCTCAGTCAGATCGGCCGACCCGTTAAGGAGGAGTAGTGCGCGCGCGCTCACACACACACGCAACGTACACTCTTTGATTTGTAGAGCAACTATGCAGACTCTCCAGGGGACTTGGTACGGGCAGGCCTCTGCCGGGCCTGCATGACTGTCCCTTTATTTAGTGATCACCTTTGCAATGATTACCGTGAAACGGGGTAACTTCGGACACTTTTGAGAGGTTTTTTTGAAATTGTGAAAGTCGTGGTGCTGTCGTGGACTTGAGGGTTAAAATTTATCATCTACCTACCTTTAGCTTCGTTTTGGCGCTAATTTCAAATAGTATATGCACCTCACCGTTCTTACAGTGGAGGGTCCGAAGCAGTGTCCGAAATTACCCCGTGTTTGGGGGTAATTTCGGACGCCCCTGGAAAAGCGACTTTTCGTTCTGATTTTGGTCCTCAAATCGATCACTGTCTCTTTCTAAAGTGCTAATATGATTATGTGAGAAATTCGTAAGGGTTTAGATGTAAAAGTAAGGTAGGGGTGGTCATTCATACATAATTTTAAGTTATGTTTTGCACTCGTATTTCGATTTCAGAAATAGTAGGCGGAACTAGTAGAGCCATTTAGAACGCTTCTATAGGGTACTTTCGTAGATCCCTGAACCGGAAGCACACAGACGCCATGTTGGCGGAAGTAGATCCAAACTTGACATGGGGAAGAGACGTTCGTCAAAGGTATCGGCCACACTTGAACATAAACAGTCGTTTGAGACTTGTTTGCAGTGCATGTGTGTTTCGCGAGCAATATTTGTACAGCTCAGCTATAGTTTTGGATCCGAAGAGAGGTTAGTTTCCGGCCAATTTGGCGTCTGCTGGTCTGCTTGCTTCCCGTTCAGGATTCTACGAAAGTACCCTATTTGTTGGCTGAGCGATAGCGAAGCCCGTTACTCCAGTGGGGTTAAAAAACTTTTTCTGTCTGCGTGTGTGTGTGTGTGTGCGTGTGTGTGCGCACTACTCCTCCTGAACGGCTCGGCCGATCTGGCTGAGATTTAGCAGGGTCATTGAGTATGTCCTTGGCTCGGCACACGCGAAATTGCACTACCCTAGCTCAACTGGTTCAGTTTTAATAGCCGAAAAACACCTAAAAAACGGCGAAAAATTGAGTTTTCTGCAGGCAGATCTCCCCCGTCTGAATGGAAGGGGGGTGCCCCCCAGCCTCGACAAGTTAAAAAGTTATAAGGGTGAAGATCGTGTAATTTGTAGATGTAGCACCTCTATCTAGAATGTAGGGAGATCTGGGGGCCTCCAGCACGCAACAAATTAGAAGTAACCGACTGTGGACAAGCATTGCCTGCCGAAGGCAGGCTAGCGCCGCAGGCCTAGGTAGGTACGCCAGGCGTGGATTGGAGGAACAGGCAGCGAGACATCGCGAAGCCTGTTACGACAAGACGGCGGTCTGGCGAAAACCCCACCTTTTTAGTTTTTGACCGATTAGCTTTCATAGGAAACTCGGGCCATACTTTATTACGCGAAAGTGAATCTTTTTCTGCCTCTACAAGATTACATACGATCACATACATGAATATGAAAGCGGCAAGTAGCCGTGTCGTATGTACGGTTAGGAAGATACAGGGGCTCAGTGGAAAGCTTTGCATTTCAATTGTAGTAAACCGGCGAGCTATGCAGCCATTCGCCAAGTCCAACTTTCATGTCACGAACGGAATTAATCACAAAACAGTCGTTGACACTAAGGTAGAACATGCACATAAAACTAATTTTTAAAAAGTAGCTTTTTCCCCATTTTCATGAAAATTTGAAGTTTACAAAGCAACCGCTGTAGCAATTGGGGATTATTGTTTTTATTGGATTATCTTCAACTTTCAGAAGAGCTCTTCAGCGTCCACCACTCAAACCCTGCGAAATTGGAAGTGTTCAGGACATACCCACTCTCCCTGGCGTGACGTTTTTTATGTCCGAAATTACCCCGTAAAGTAACATTTTTTTTTGTTTTGAGCCCATATAAACCATACTATTAGACCCAGGTGATTGAAAAATTTTACACAGTATGCTCTAAACATGATCGAATCGACAAACAATCACCTCATGCACCGGGCCCTGAACATTTGGCTTGCCAGCCCAAAATTTTTACGCATAAAAAGAATTAGGTAAAAAAGGTTAAAAACTAAAACCGCTTTTTTTTTCCTGGGGTTTGCCCCTGATTTGGCCTCCGGGTGATTGATCAGATGGTTTTAAGTGTGGCCGATGCGATGCGCGCAACGGGACAAACCTCCAAGTTGGCCGTTGGATGGGAGCATCATCGCAATGCTACCGGGCAGAGTTTCCGAAAATTTCACCGAGTGTCCGAAATTACCCCGTTTCACGTACTTGCTGACTCCCGAGGGGAGGTAGTTTTTTTCTCAAATCGCACGACCCCCGAAATCGATGTCTCGGATTCGGACCAAACTTGGTGGACTCATTGCTTGGGTCACCAAAAAAAAGTTTCTGACCCCGAAAAATTTTTTTTTGCTCTAAAAAAATTTTTTTCCCCCCTAAAAGTTTTAAAAAAATGGACCAAAAATCGAATTTTCGTCCAATTGACCCTACATTGTGCAAAGTTGTTTTTTCAACGTCTTTTGATCTTATTTTATCCTATTTTATCCTATCCCACTCTGAAATGATTTTTGACACCACTAAAAACCATGAAAAACGACAAAATTTTAACGTTTTCTTGAATACCCAAAAAATGCATCCGAATTTTTTCATGAAAATTTGTATTTAAGTTTATCTTTTTGGGCCTCTAACATGTGTCAAAAATTGGGAGAGTTAAATTTGAATTGCCTTAAAAATAATTTTTTTCCACTTTTTTCAGTGAAAATTTTCACTGAAATGACTCAATTTATCAAGTTTTCGGCAAGACTATTCAAGTCTCATGGCTTCTGGGTCCTCCTGGATGGGCAGGGATGTTGGAAATGTATTACTGGGTAGATAGTAGCTTCAAGATGTTTATTTTTACTTATTTTAGATGGTTGACAGGCAATACCGGTAAGTTGCCCTAGACTCCGACGAAGTCCCAGCCCATAGCCCCGATCCGACCCGGTCCCGACCTGGCCCCGACCCGGCCGAGACCCGGCCGAGACATGGGTCCCAATAATTTCCAATATTTTTCTTATTTTTCGACCATTTTTTTTCTTTGCAGCCCGCCTTGGAACGGCCATGCACCAAAGGGTCCTTTTTAGCCCTTTTTGGGCATGCCGAGAAAAGAACGGCCATGCACTTCTATCCAAAATGGCCGGGACGAATCTTTTTTCTGTCTCATTTTCTTTTTTGGCACTTTACGCTCTATCGAACTTTCAGCACTTTCAGGCGATGAAATATCTTCCTCTGTGGAGGAAGTAGAGTCTTTTGAATTTGCTACTTTTATTTTAGACACAACATGTCTCTGGAAAAAAAAGGAAAAGTCCATCAAACAGTCAATTTTAAGCGCCATTAAGTGCAAAGACGATACGGAACTCGGTTAATCTTTACTTACGCTAATGATTTTGATTCTTTCAGGCATTGCCATCTTTAAGGCATTATAGACTTGCTGAAATTTAGCATCATTAGATATTTTCGAGTAATTCAGTTTCTTTTCCTTAGAGTCGGATCTCATTATGTTCATAGTCATAGTCATGGCATCAATTTCTGCCATTATTTTTTCCTCGAGGACTAAAGAAATCAAATTGGGATAAAGAAGAGGATTCTCCATTTAAGATATAATCGTTTATTGTTTTAACAAAGAGAACTTACCTTTTTCAAATGTACTCCTGTCAGTAAGTTCAATAAACCTTAGAACAATGTTAGCAAATTATTTCTTTTCCTTCCTTAGATTCGCTTTGTTTTGACCGCCCGAAGGCGTCGTCCCCTGATGACAGTGAG